GGCTGTTGAAAACCTGTGACCCGCAGGTGCGCGCTCGCGCGTGGGGGTTCGGGCGTCCGCTCGTTCCCTCTGGCCTGGTAGAGAGAGAGAGAGAGAGAGAAAAAAAAAGAGAGGGAGAGAGAGTTCGCACGCATGCATGTAGTTTTCAACATACTGCCAACCGCAACCGTCGGGGGCGCACTAGCGCGCGATGTAGGGGGGCTTGCTCCGGCAACCTTTGCACCACAACCCTGGCGAAAGAAAGAAAGACGTGACATTAAGTTACATTCGCAGAACAGTTGCCTGTCCCATGCCCGGCAAACTCGACACGCCACCATTGTGGCGCGGCCACCTAGGGCTGTAAGCAATGAAATGTTTACATCGCTACGAGAAGCTACTCGCGCCGTTGCTTCAGGTGAAACGTCAGTTGACCTTGGTCAGGTCAGACAGCACCGGATTCGATGGCTTCGGGCGCAGCCCGAAAGCAGAGAATGAAGCAATTCTCTTTGATGGTGCGTTGAAATGTGTAGGGGCAGGCTGTGGCGCGCACATTGTCATCAGTGCCCCACCAGGGCGAGCGCGACTCTCCAGAGGAGGCCGTAACTCGCCTCGGCGATGCAACCTGAGTGGTGTCAGTGTGAGCTAAGAATGCTCGATAATGACCGTGGTGGGGTGTGGAGCCTAAGTGAAGGACTCCCCCGATGAGCTGATGGATGCCCACCCCACTGCATGCGCGTCTGCCAAACGGGGCAAGCAGATCTGCGCCATTGCCTGACACGGCACATGGACGACGTTCTTCCCCTGCGCCGGGTCGGAATGGTGGTGGCATCAATAGTCCATGTGATGCCTGTTGCAGATGCCAGAGATGAAGGTGGTGGCACGATCCCTGTTTGGCAAAGGCAAGTCAATGAAGATAGAACCATTGAGTCTGGGCAAATGATACTCTAAGGAGCCTGGAACCGGCCTAGCCTCCCAATGGCAGGTGAGAAAGGCCAAATCATGTCGTTCCAAGAGAAATCTGATGAGCTCTGTGCAGTCCTGCTGCAGGTGATGTGGTCGTGCCCATTCCTGTAAAAGCATGCGCCAGGGAAGAGAGGCAAGTAGGAGAACCCCTTGTGGTGACGCTTTGGATGGTCATGGATGGTCTGGCACTGGACGCAGCAGCATGCTGAGTGCTCTGGCAAGACCCACGGCTCTTGCGGAGGAAGGGATAGCAGCAAAAGTGCCGCGGATGCGTGCCACCGCTTGAAGATGCCCAGGGCCTCCTGTGCTATCCCCCTCGACGCCGGGTTCTTCACTAGATGCTTCAGGCTCCGAGCGTCCACCAGCACGTCTTCTTTTCCTGGTTCCCGGCCATGTGGGTGAAACTCCCCTTCTGACAATACCTATGCATCCGTCTTCCTTCTGGGCTTGCGTCTCGAGCTGGTACTGCTCCAGGCGGGTGACAAACTCGGCTACAAGCTATTGCAGATCTGGGACCTGGTCACGGCTCACGGTGTCTCCTGCTTGACCTTGCGCCAGCTGTCGGCACAGGCCAGCAGGAGGAGCGGCAACATCTGATGAGGGCCGTCTTGGTTGTTCTTGAACGTGAAGATGATCGTGTGATCGGATTGAATCTGCGACAGGTAGTCCGACTGGGCTGCTACTGCCTGGGCAACCTTCATCGCAGGAGTTCGTCCGAAGCAGGGCGTTCCTGGATTTGCCGAGACTGGGAACCGTGACCTCCGTGAAGCCGAGAAAAAACCAGGTTGTCGACGGTCCTGAAGGCAGTTGGAGGTTGCACGCGACCGCAGCTTAGCTTGGAACCATGTGTGGCTCGTGGAGGGGTGGTGCGCCACTGTGGCTGCACTACTACGCAGGCGGGATACCATCGGGGGGGCGGGGGCGGAGGGGTGTAGGGGCCCGGGACCCGACACGGCATCTACGGGGAGTGCGTGGCCATCGTTGTTGAGGTTTTGAAAACTTGGGGAATGTCGAGCCTGGCCATGCTCCAATTTTCGCAACCTGTAAATATCCCCACCACCATGATCCACTGCTTGCAACAAGCAGGTTCGGGTGGATCCTGAGGGCGAGGGGCGTGAGCATATGCCCTACATGTATGTACGTATTTATTTATTTATATGTATTTGTAGGTATACGATATGTTGTTTTACTATTTGATATGATTCTAAACGCTTCGCATCGTCCCGGCCCGGTCCCGGGTGCAGTAGACGGGCTTTGCCTGCTGTGGAAGCATTTTTGTGTCTCAGCTAAGCGGAGGCCCAGAGGTGAATACGAAAACGCAAGAAATTTGAAACACCGAAAACGCGAAAAGCCCGAACACGCGAGGACTGCGAAAACCACAGTAGTACAGTAGTAGTACTGGCAGTAAAAGCGATAGTCATAGTCATAGCAACTCATGATAGTGATGTAGTTACAATGTAGTTATTCGACTTCGGTTTTTTTTTTAAACGTGTTTCGTGTTTGTCGCGTTTCGACTTTGCGCGCGTTGTGCGCAGCCTCCGATTGTACTCGCTTAGCCTAGTGGGGTGGGGGCAGGGGCCTTGTCATTGACTGTTCTCCACAGCCAAGATCAGGAAGAATCACAATGTGACCGTCTTTCCTGTCTATGCTGAAGGCTGCAGCCATGTGCCATATTCGAACCAATGTCTTCGCGTGCTGGATGGATTTTGTGTATCTTGAGTGGTTCTCCCTGACCTATCCTTCTGCGGGCTCGTCCTAGCTAGGTGGGAGGCAAAAAAAAATCTACGCAGCCGAAATCCTTTTTCTGCGGGGTCAGAGAGAGGGGAAAGAGGTCGGAGAGACAAGAGGCAACCTATCACTTCTTTCGTCCAAGCCCGAGGCGAATATTGCATTGTACAGTAGTGTATTGTATTCTTCATGTTAGTTTTTACTGTATATGGGCACAACCACGCGCGCACACACATAATCCAGAATCATATGTGTGTGTGTGTGTGTATATATATATATACACAGACACACACACACACACAAACATGTGTGATCACTTGAGTCAGTGTATAGTGTTGGTGTATACAGTTACAGGGCCATGCACATGCATGTAAAGCTGTTGCCCCCCACTGCTTGGCAAAGGCACTGGAGTCGCAGCTCCGATGGCTTGGTCGTATTTCGAGGTTAAGCCGGGCACCTGGTTGTAGGCTTCTGTCAAGGTAGGTTGGCCATGAGCGTGAAGCTCCGAGTGGCAATCTCGGAAACCAGATGAGGTATTCCTTGACTGTTCCACAAGAAGCTCTGGCCGTCGCTGTACTTTGTGTGGTTCGTCAGGGATATGCTGCGGCTGATCTTCGGTTTCAGCACAAGAAGTTGACATGTTTGCTTGGTTGTAAACCCTGCTATCATCCTGTTACACCCCACCTCGCTCGTGTAGGGACTTTTTGCACCCTAGGTACTTCTGCGCCTCCACAGACCGGAAGATGACTTTAGCGAAACATTGGTCTCCGGAAAGCTGTCAGCCTTTGCTGATGTACCCAGCGAGGAGGCACACTGGCAAAACCACAATGCATAAAGCGAGGGATGACAGTCGGAGACCGGCTCAGACTTACCGCGTGATGAAAGAAGTTGCCGATGCGTTGTGGACATGCAAAGGCTGCACATCTTGTCTTGGAAGTCCAATACGGATCGCGAAGCACCAACTACACGCTGCCAAGATGCAAATACAGCCAGTAGCTTTGCATGAGAGATGCTTCGTGTATAAATCAAAACTGGTTTCATCCCGGAGAAGGATTGTGGTCATCCGATCCACTATCACTTCGGACTTCCAGTTTCAGCAAGTTGGCAGCACCTGATAGGCGATGCATCTGCAGCTCATCCAAACATAGGCTGCTGCCACGTGATTGCATAATCCTGTACCCAGTGGCCAAGGTATCCAGATCCAGCTGCGATAGTTCCGGCCGCGGCCACGCTGACAGGTCTTGTGGCCGTGGATGGCTTTGGAGACCCGCTGCGCATGGAGCCGATGTACTTCGACGCCCAACCGCAATTTGCTGTTCGGTCTAAGTCTAGCTGCTGCGGCATATTTGGACGTCTTGGTTTCTTTGTCGCGGCGACGGCATGATGTATGGCAGTCGCTCAGGATCCTCGACGTAGCCAGTACCTGGTCTTTGCCAACCCCAACACTGGAGGCGGCTATGAGTGGACGCGAGCCGTAGCCTCGAAGAACGACCCGGCAGCCCTTCTTCATCTGCGGGTGGATGGCAGTGATTGGGAAGACCTCGAGTCCGGCATTCTGACTCGGCACCGTTGCTGCATCTGGAAATGATTGCTGGGACTTCGGAACGGTGACTGCAGCATTAAATGCCCGGGGGGGGGGGGGGGGTTCCGGTGTGGGTCATGGCGGAATGAGATGAGAAAGGCCTGCGGTGTCAGAGTTCAATTCTGTGTTGAAAATTGGTGGTATGATGCAGGTACATCTCTGTGCCAGTGAACACTTGGCTCCTTCTTGAAGTACGGGTCACCTCTGCGACGGCCACTGCTGCTGGGACCGTGCCTCTCGTGCCCAGTATGAATTTGGCGCGGCGCATCTTCTTCCTATGCCGCCATGTGCATGACTCCTCATGCCAAGCTTGGCCCGTGAGGTGTACCAGCTTCTTGTCTCGCGGGAGCTTCGTTGTCATGTTCTTTGTCGCACGTGCTTTGGACCTGAAGCAATCCATTGCTTGTCCTGCCGAACACCTTTGGTGCTCAACAATGGGACGTGTGAGACAGCTTGTCCTCCAAGCAGCTACTACGAGTGGAGCCTTGGCTGGCAGGGGTAGACAGCAGTGCATGTTGCTCACTTTGCTCGCTTCTCCCAAGTCTCTTCTGAGGACTTCTTTCCAATGTCGACCATGCGATGAGTCCTGTGCACAATGCTCAGGCCTGTCCTGCCGTCGAACGAACACACCCCCAGGTATGCAAAACAGGAATAGGAGACGGTACATGGCGACATCACAAGCATGGCAAGAGTCGCCCGAAGTGCAGCGATGCGGAGCTTGGTCAGGTCCTGGGGCAAGTGCTTGCACCCAGTGCCGTGCCCTCTTCTTCCTCTCGCCGCTGACGTGGGAGGATCTGCAGGCGCCGTGCGTCCTGCGATGCCCTGGAGGCTGTTACAAGACTTTTTGCAGCATGGGGTTTGTTAGGCAAGCAGCGTTTTGCATTGGCATTGGCCTTCTCAGGCACGTTTGCTCATCCGCGAAGCCGCCGTTGCCGGAAGCCTCCGAGTGCACCTGTCAAAACTTTTTACCTCCAGTTCAAGTTCCGCAGCACGTTTCAGGCCAGCCCTAATCCTAATCCCTGTTGTGCCGAATCGCCACCGGTAACCTTGTGGAATGACTGCAGGAGTTTGCCAGAGATCCGGTCATTCAGGACAATGTGACTTCGAAATCAATAGTGCTTTAGTCTATGACAAGTGCAGCAGCTGCAGGAATCTGTGCTCAACACCACTGCCTTTGTTTTGGGCTTGGCGTTGTCCGACATTCGAGGCTACAAGATGGAAGCTGTGGAGGTTTGCTGTCCGCAAATTTCAGTAAAGCCGCGTTTCGTTTCGGTTCCTATCGGTTTCTCGGATGGGTTTTGACTCCGTTTCGGTTCACTGCTGTTCTTCTTGCGGTTCCGTTCGGTTCAGAAAACCCATCCCTCCATCCATTCCAGACCCTCCTCCATCCAACCCTCCATCCAGCCCTCCATCCACCAGCCTCCCAGCGTCTCCATCCCAATCCAACCCCCTCCATCCAGCCCACCAGCCCCTCCATCCAGATCCAGCCCTTCATCCACCAGCTTATCTCCATCAAAGCCCTCCATCCACTCAGCCCCACACCTGATGTAGGGGGTTGGATGGATAGGGTTTGCCTGCATGAAAATGGCGCTTGGATGGAGAGGGGCTGGATGGAGGGTTCATTCGCGCGGTTCGATGTCGTGTGTCGGTTCAACGGTTCGCGGTTTTTTGCGGTTCACAGGGCTGGACGGTTCCTGCGGTTCGGTTCCTCGGTTCGACGCCTTCCTGAAAGTTAAATCAAACCAAATGACGACCTCCCCTGGATTGCCCGAGTCTGAGCGCCGAAACCGTGAAAGACAAAACAGTACACCGGTCGAGGACGAGAGCAGCTTCACATCCCGAGACTGTCCCAAGATCAACACATGTGCAAAATGAGAGCGGCACCGTGGCGAGAGCATCGGACGCGCGCCCCCCAAAATATGATGCAAAGGAGTAACAAAGCGATGGGTCCCGGACGGATGTGGCCGGCACGATATTAAAGCGCAGGGAAACCCACCGTGCGCCACCCGGATCCAGGAACTTGATCGTCTTTCACTAGCCTGAGAACCCTGTAGCGTTGCCGCAGACATCAACTGCAGGAGGAATATGGCATTGTGGTTGACAACGGGCCACCTTTGCTATCCGTTGAGGTCGTCTCACCCTTCCTGTCCAAGGACCCACACATATTTTTTCAACTGTTCGTTTCGGTATTCGGAGTGCAGAGCTGCAACACAGGACGAGGCGGACCACATCTCGATGAACACCTGGTTCGGAGCTTTCGAAGTTCCAGTGGATCAAGTCCAGAGCTTCACATGGGATCAAATGCATCCACCACTGCCGCCATTACCGGTAGATCCATTTCTACCGACCTGGGCATGGGGCTTGGGAACTTCAGCCAGTGCAGCGATCCTCCTCTTGTTTCCGATCTACTGCTGCTACTTTCGAAGACTGGCAAACACCCGTCGCAAGTATCGACCGGCAGCTGGTGTTGACCCGACGTTTATGGAGCGAGTTGTCCACAATTCGGACTCGCAGCTGGTGAAGCGCTTCGTTGCACGCGACAGCGGTGCACAGCTCATGCGCGATGCGGACTGATGGCTTTCTTGAACTGAGTGCAAGGAGCATCAAACCCGCCGCACAAGTTCCCTGCCATTTCAAGGGCCAAATCGAGCGCAGCTCCAAGGACCCGTCGGAAACGTCGTCGAGCTGGCGGAACTGGCCAGCCCCACGGTCACGTGGGTGGATCGGCACAGCTTGCAACTTGGCCACGGCGAGAGACACGGTCAGCAGCACGACCACACCCGTTGACAAGTTGGAGTCGGTGGCGCTTGTCACTTGTCCTCACCTGCACGCTTTCATGCTACGGGCACTCCTGCAAGCCAGCACATCCGTTTCACCCCCCAGTCTACTATTGTATTGGAGGATTTTCTGCTAGCCAAGCTGCAGAAACCGTGTGTTCGACGGTTTGCGAGTTCCGCCTTGAAGAAAAGTCGACAAGGGAAGCGCAGCAGAGACCGCCCAACCCCCACACTTCACTTCAGCCTGGTTGAGGCCCATCACTCCCGGCAAGGATGTGACGCTGCCGCAGCTGCTCCTTGGCAGCGATGGCCAGAGGGACTGGGTAATTAGAAGCGATGAGTCCGTCAGCATGAATCTGTAGCGACGTGAGCTCTGTACGGTCTGAAGGCATCGGCTGTTTCTGAGCTCCGCACAAACAGCCCTTCTGAGGAGGATCAAGGCGGATAGCTTCATCTCCGACTACACGTGCCTCTTGCTCAGTTCACTCCGAGTACCTTCTGCGGCACTGCGGCAACAGTAGCTGGAACGTTCAACTGAGGTGCGGCTGAAGGTTTCTTTCTCTAAGATGATTGACCTCGGAGTTCATGGCGGGTTCACATAGCCCGTATCTTTCGCCAGTTGCACACCGTGCCGTCCAGCCCGGAATTTAACAACGGGTTTGGATGACAAGTGCAAGCCGTTTTGTTTGCTCAGGGATACAAAGATGCTCCCTTGAGCACCTTCTGGGTAAGAGCAACACAGCAAGGACTCGTCTCGGATGGTGAGGGGACGCCCCAACACAACGTGTGTTTGTTGCTCTTATGTTAGAAGACTTCTCTCAATCCTTGGCTGGCGTAAGCCAGCTCGGGGGTGTCGCAACTTCGTAGTGAGATTCCAGCCGTTGCTGGATTGCTGGGATCAATCAGCCCATCGGGCTGGGACATGCTTGCCTTGCGCTACTCTCGCTTACTTGTAAATATCCGAACAGAATGCAGGCGTAGCTGTGTGTGCGTGCATGCGTGCGTTCGTGCTTGCTTGCTAGCTTACTTGCTTGCTGTTTGCATGTGTGTGTGTGTGTGTGTGTGCGCGTGTGCTTGTGACTTGTGGGCTCGATGTTGGTGTGCATGGGAAGAGGTCGAAATGTGTGTATGAATCTATCTGTCTGTCTATCTATCTGTCCAATCAATGAGCTCAGAGTCATCATGCCTATTTATTTATTTGTCGATTCGTAGTGAAACGCATCTAATGCTTCCTAGTCGCAATCATGCACATCTGTCGTTCGCGCGTGGGTTTTCTGATGCCTCGGTTTGCGGGTCTTGCGATAGATCTTGCAAAGGGCGCTTGGGGGCAACGTGCTATGTCTGCTGGTGTCTGCTCTGCTCTGCCCTGTGATGGGCGTGTACCCTACTTTACAACCAGAATCCCCACTTCACAACCCACAAGCCTTTCCAGAATCCCTACTTTGCAACCGGTTGCGAACCCTTCTTAACAAACGTATTAACTGACAATGTCAAAGCCTGGAACATCCAGCATCATCCTTTGCAGCAGCCATGCAGGTTGGAAAGTCTTGCTGGTTGCAATGTGGGCGTTCTTAAGCCGAATCCGCATCCAGACACGTGTATAATATATATATATATATGACACATCTGGTTCTAACTTCGCGCTCGGAATTTCCGGCGAGACTGGCGCTTGAGGTTTTGGCCCTGGTGGTTCTAACTTGCCGTCCGGGAGTGTCTATATATATATATGTATGTATGTATGTATGTATGTATGTATGTATGTATGTGTGTGTATACACACACACACATATATATATATATATATGTACACATTATCTTTGCTCGAACGGTTATGTGTGTTCGTAGACAGGGGAGACTAAGCAATACTTGTTTTTTTTGGTTTTCAAGGTTTTGTGTCGTCGTAGAAAGGGAATACTAAGCAATACTTAGTATCTTTATTTTGGTTTTAGCGGGTGTGTGTTGTCGTAGACAGGGCATCCTAGGCTATACTTATACTTCGTATCTTTATCTTGGCTTTAGCGGGTGTGTGAAGTCGTAGACAGGGCATCCTAGGCCATAGTTTGTATCTTTATCTTGGTTGTTGTGGGCGTTAGTATCTGGAATTAATGATCACGACCTCGCACTGGGAATTAAGGAAAGAAATCCCAAAAGGCCTTAATCATAGTAAGACATGCAAACAGACATGCAGACGTGTTGCAAAATGCACATGCTGAGGATCTACCGTTGTAAAGCAAAGCGGGGATTCTCACATCGAAACCAGTGTCTGTGGTTGCAAAGTGGGGATTCTGGTTGTAAAGTTGGGATTCTGGTTGTAAAGCGGGTTAATCTCCCTGTGATGGACATCTGACTGCCTGGAGAGGCATGGGTAAAGGTATTGCAAAGTGCAAGGCGCAGTTCAGGATGCTGTAGTCCGAGCCCAAATTAGCTGCATGCGCCAGACGCATGCCAGGAACGCTTTCTGCTGAGCAGCGAGCTTCTTTACGCGAATGTTGGCCATATTGCTACCACTACGAAAAGCAGTTGTTTGGCCATGCATGCCAGTGCGCCCCCAAGAATTTGCCAACCTTCGGTCTTGTTGGACGCATCAGAACGGCCGTGCTGGCCTGCTTGAAGCGAAGGGGAAAAAGACTGCGATAGGTGAGGCGGACCGGCGCTCATGCGGCCCCGTTCTGGTTGTCCTCAATCCGCAAACCCTGAGACTTCCACTGCAGATTCAAGCTGCGCGCTAACGTCACAGAATTTGCCAGCCAGAAGTAAGTGCTGCACACGGAAGGTGAAGTGCACATCAAAGGTGTTTCAGGCAAAGCTTGGTGCAGTCACAAGTTAAAGCCGTCTAGCAAATTATGCTGCCCCTGATGTGTAATTCTGTAGGCCACTCACCGACAGTGGCTCAGCCAAGATTCACTGCAAGACTCTAGTTCACAAGGCATCCATCTGTGGGATGCACGGCCACTGCAGATGGTGTCTTGGCACCCGCAGTTAACCTGCATAGGACAGCTGAGCGGGTAAATCAACCATTTCGTTCGTACACATGCTGTCGCCGGCACCCACGAGTGCGAATACATGCACCAGCGCTCAACCGCCCAGCGCATGCGCCCGCACACACATATTGTGCGTGTGTGTCATATACACACTGATTTCTCATACCCTCACTCTCTTTGCCTGCATCGCTCTTTGCAGAACTTTCGGCAATCACCGAGACAACAAGGGAAGGGCTTGCGGAGATGGCAGACTGAGAATTCAAAGCCTCCTACAACTGCAGCTGGATCGGCCCTGTCCATGAATTTATTTGAGCTGCAGTCTGTGCTGGACTGCCGATGGCCTGGGCCTGAAAGTGGCACTGGCCCATGAGCATGCGAAAGCTCAGCCGGGAATAGAGCTGCTCAGGAGCTGGTGCCCGTCACCCATCTTGAGGAGGGCTTCCTTGGTGGCGCTTTTGACATGTCACATCGTGGCCTCTGCTCTCACGTGAGGCCAAGGCTTTGCCTCCACGTGGCCAAGCTGACATGGGGCCACCAGAGAAATCGAACAGAGCCCAACCTGCGCAAGTCACCAAGGAAGAAGAGGACGACCCAAGCGCCTCGCTTCTTCACTTCTGCTCCTGTCAGTGGTAACTTGGCCGCCAGCCTTCCTCCACCCAGTGCCTTGCATGCTTGAGTCTACAAGGTCGGCTGTTGTTGGCTAGTTTGGAGCCATGGCGGCAATTCGAGCGAGCAGGAAGCGCTTCTAGTTCGACCTTGTGGTTGTGGGTTCCTTCAACATGTGCAATCTGCAGGACCTGGACACGGCATTTGCATCCGTGGGCTTCGTGAAGCAAGCAGCCCCTTCCTCTGTCTTCATACAGTGATTGCTGCGTCGGTGGCGTGCGTGTCTGTAGGCAAGCCAATCAGCTAATCATCACTCGTCATAGTGGCGCAGTCACCCTTGCACGCTCGTTTTGTTCGTGAGCGGCTTCACCGCTTCAGTCTCAGGCGCCACCAGCCGTCGCTCTCTTGGGCGGTTTGGCTCTCTATGGAATGGGAGGCGGGCAGTGCGTTTCGAGAAGACAGCCGTTCAGAGACAACATGAGGAGCTACATGCCGGGCATGAGGTCCTTCAAAAGCTGAAACAGACCATATTTCGTGCCCCGTACGACACGGCCTGAACAACAAGTGACTCTCGTTGTTGGGAGGGCCAGAGACCGTGTCCATCCTGATGATCTACTTTGGGGCAGAGCCCTGAGATTTTGCTGCGACGCGACCAGAGATCTCATGACTCTGCTGTCTGCAGGCTCAGACAGGCATGAACTTGTACATCAAGAATGTGCTTTCCAGAATCGTGGTCGACGAAGAACTAGGCCAGCTTTTCTACGCGAGTTGGCGGCATTGATGTCACCAGTCGTCTAGGCAGACGGGGCCTTCCCATCGGTTTCCTCCTCACGGCGATTCAGCAGCCAATGCCTCAACGAGGCTTGGTCGTGGCAGTTTGAAACCTCGGTCTACTTCACAGGATGGTCGCCTTCATCGCATTTTGCATCTTTCTCGTCGCAGGCTCTTGCAGCGATAGTAGAACGATCTTTACCACTGTCTCTCCGACGTGTGAGGCCGGCTCTGTTGTGCCGGCTACGAGGCAGGATTTACGCAAACAGCGGAATGCGATGATTTCAATGTTGTCGCTGTCGCTTTGTGATGCGCAATGTGTATACCAGGTGAAGCAGCTGAAATCGACCAAAGAGTGGGCGGCATCCTCAGCCACCAGTTTTCACGAAGACCTCATGGAACTGCTGTATTTGCCAGCTGCTGGCACTAGCCGCTAGCCTGCTTGGTTACATGTGCTCCGAGGTGGCCGTAATTTGCTTCAGCATGGCCTTCGCATTGAATATCGGTCTGAACAACTTCAGCTTGTCTCTGGTGGCAATCTCGCGAGCAGCTCAACACACATTGCACTCGCACAGTGGCATGGATTGCGATCACGGAATCGGCCTCGTTCAGATGAAGTCCACTTGCCAGAGCAGTGCAGCCTGTCCTCAGGATCAATATGATCATCCGTACCTGTTTGCCGCTCTCCACAGTCACGGCCTAGCGCGTGAGGAGGGGTACCTTGCAGTGTCATTCTCAACTCGAGGCAGTCTCTGAACTGATTCTTGGATCTCTTCTTGGGATACAGCGGAAGGCAAGGGCCGCACTGGACACACTTTTGCCATGTTGAACGCTGCAGTCCATTGGGCCGACCAAGTGGCTGCTGATGTTGGCAGGCCTGGGGGCTGTGGAGAACTCAAGTATATAATTGTTTCACAGAGCTCGACGCAATGTCCAGGCGTAAGCTGCGCGGGTTTAGCCAGCTATGTGGACAGCTCGGCAAGTCTCGTGCGGCCTTTCGGGGCAAAGCCAATACCCAACATGACATGCACAATCATTGTTTGGGTGGCAGCGTCACTGTCACTGTCACCACTGTGCCTCGGACTTTGGGTGATGCTTGCGTCCGTTTGGGCGTTGTGAGTGATCCAGTTACAGCTCCTGCCGCACAGACCTGGGGAGATGCTTAGGCCAAGACGACTTCGCAGACAAATGCTGAAGAGTCTGCAGCCCTGATGCACGCTGCTAAGCTTCTCGTTTCTTGAACGCCAGTGTGGCGCACAGCTAGAAAACTGAGTGGGAAGTGGGAAGGGCTTCAGCAATCGCTCAGCACGGTGGGACTCTGCGTCTGCAATGCCATTAAAATCATCCGCATTGAACTTGGCCGCCTTGACCACAAAACAGGATGTCACACAGCCACTTGGAGAGCAAGATCGAAGAGCACAAATCTCCAGGTTTGTGCAGCAACAGGCTCCCTACAGCACCACAAGGATCTCTGCGAACGGCAAGTGTCATCCGAGGACAGCCACAGGACCTCCTTGTACGCACTTTCCTGCTGAGGCCTCGCGAGGACGCCGCAAAAGGAGCAAAGGAGAACGATGACTATGACATGGCTATAACATGTGGCTAATATGGCTTGCGCTTCGACACACTCCTTGTCAACCCGGGACGGAGGTTGACTTGGCAGACTGCACGGTAAAGTAGCAGTCATCTTGGTTGACATTGTCCTGTTAATTCTTATGTGCAAACCAAACAAGTATAAGTGTTATTGGGCACGATGGCTGTGCAGAATGTGCAGAGCCACGGAGCTTGTGCCCGTACGCGAACCCCATGCCGCCCCAGCCAGTCAAGGTTTGCTCCCTCTTGCACTGTCATAATGCCCAGCTGCTTTTGCACTATGCTGCTCGGTTCCGATGAACCGAAGCTGCTTTGTGCACGGAAATACCAAAATAGATAAAATAGGTACAGGAGTGCTTTCGACAGGCTTGGTTTGCCACGTCTTCACGTAATGTCCGTGCTTCTCGCTGCAGGCTGGGCATAATCGTGACAGTTTGCAGCATCTTTGCCGGTGCCGTCAACATGGTCCTGGCTAGCATCCTGGGTACCAGCATGAAGATGAATCCGCGCAGAGCTCATCTTGAAGCAGCTCGTGCGTTGCACATGCCCATTCCGCTCGAGTGCCCCGAGGCTAGACACCACATGCTACATGTCGCTGCCAACCGCGTGCAGCACCAAGTCACAACCACGACATCCACATGACTCATATGTTGGTGCGCTGACTGTCTACTGTTGCGAGCCAGTGCGTGTTACAAGATTCCTCCGGGCCAATCGGGACACATAATTGTGCGACCGTGAGCTCCCCCCGAATATCCCGGCCAGCGAGACTTCGAAGATGTTTGCGACCCTCCAACAGATGCACAAAAACGGTGTGTTTCTGAAGGTGTACGTTTCGAGACCGCAGTCCTAAAACTTGGCTGGAGAGGGAGAGGTCGAAATGCACGGGCACACAAACAAATGACAGTCCCGCCCCTCCCCGTATGTGCCTACCGGTCCATTCGGTTTCAAGAGACTGTCCGAAATAACAGTTGCAGAGCTCGGCCTGCGACGGCGCATAAATCTTGGCGTTCCACATGCATCTTAGGGGGTGGAAGCCTCAGGACGAGAAAAAGCTAAGCTGACCCCCAAGAAATGCCAAGAGGCTTCTTGATACTGCATCATTTTCGCTTGTTGAGGCGTCGACGGTGTGGTACCGTCCCCAAAACCGGGCGTTTAGGAGAGTGCAATGTTTTTGTTTGTCTTGCTGGCTTCGAAAGTGTGGTAAAAGCGTCAGTGTGGCACTGTCCTATCACAAGACTAATGCTGCAAGGATAAAATGCGGATCTCGATCAGTTGGAGGCGATTTCGCTCCCTGAGGCTTCACAAGTGTGGTACTTCCCAAAAAAGAAGGAACCGTGGTTGCTAGGCACAGTACAGCATGTTGGTTTTGTGAGACTTCCAAGTTGTGCCAATCCCGGAAAGCCAATGCTCTCCCCAAGAACAGAAGCTTTCAGTAAACTGGCGAAGATTCCGGGCAACTACTGTTGATGATAGAAATCCTGCATTACCCATAGTAGGGAATATACCGCAATTAATTCCCTTGGTTTGGAGTCCTTGAGGTAATGCAGGATTTATACCATCAACCGTAGTGCGCAATGCATGCGATACATTTTCGCTCGCACCCGTCCCGCAGCTTTGGATGCATGAGCGGGGCATCCCGAAATCCCGTGTCATGCCTCGAAATCCGGAGTGGTTTCGCAGTGGGGTACTCTTAAGGTGATGCATGCTCCTTTTCTGGCACATCAAATCGATTCTTGTTGCGCACAAAAAACCAATGCCTCGACAGCAGCAACAACACAACCTACATCGTTAGTGGAGCCCGTTTGTCTCAGGCTCCTCCATCTCCTGCAATGACAAAACTGACAGCCCTTCTGTTCCAAAAGTGAAGTGAGGGAGCTCGTCTTTCCCCTGATTAGTTGCTGGAGAGCTCCTGTGTATTTCCATGACAGATCGCATAAGAGTGATGCACAACGTGGACATGCGGTTGGTGAACATGTTGAGTCCTTAGATGATGTAGATGTGGAGTTGGATTGTGTCGAAACAAACGGCTTGTATTATAGAAAATGATCTAGCAGGTATTATCACAACAGAAATATTTAGGTAAAAGAAAGGTGCCCTCTCCGGGAGAAGGTAATATTAAGGTCCAGGGACAATGTAGACGGCAGGCGCCCTATTAAAGCTACATGCAGCAGGCAGACGGAAGGTGTTAAGAAGGTAGAACTAGGTAGAGCACCACCACCGGTTTGGGTTCACTAAGCTTAGAGGCTTCGAGATGGCGTGGAGGGTAGGGATTGGCGTAGAGGTGCTTTTTCGAGGGCGGGTTGCATGTGACGTGCAGCAGGTCCCCTTCAGCTTTCTTGGGTACCTATGTTTACCTTTCCAGCCCCGGCTCCCTCGCCCTGGAAATCTAACTTTTTCCTAGGGAAAGCTAACAGAGCAGATAAACCAAAGGTAAAAGGGCAAAGCAAAAAAGTTAAACAAACTGTGAAAGAGAAGGTTAAAAAAGGTGAGGCTTCACCCAAAGGTAAAACAAGGTGAGCAGAAAAGGTAAAGAAAAGCGGGCCCGTGAAACCAAAGGTGAACAAAGGTGCCGGCAAAGATAGGGACAAGAACAAACGTAAAGAAAAGGTGTCAGGAGAAGGTAAGGACCGCGCGAGCGGGTGGGCCCCTGGTGCTGCGCAGCTGCCTTGATGCCTACGCCATCCCGTTAGCCCGGGTCCTGCACCTGAACTCCCCCCCTTTCCGGTCTCAATGTCCGCCTTGTGCTTGCTTGAATATGTCCCTTCTTCTTCGTGTGCTTGCTTTCTGTATACCTTGTCTTTGCCTTTCTCAGACTCCTGTTGTTTTGGTGTGTTACGTTTTGTTCACCTTTCTCAGATACCTTAATTCAAAATTCGTTTCACCTCTTTTAAATTATTCAGGTGTTCATAGAATATACCAGCAATCCTCTTTCATAATGCTTGTATTGTAGCACAGGAAGTTCGACTGTTCATCGACAACAAGCAACACAAGACGCAAGACTCAGTGGTTGGTCTTTGAAGGGCCAAATTTTTCCCGAACACAAGTCAGACGCGTCCATTACGACTTGCTACGAACAGAAGACCCAGATCGCCGGCCCAAGTCACAGAAACCGCCCACATAGGCTGCTCAATGCTGACTGTGGCGTTGCTCATTCAAACACTCGGATTGGTGGGCACACGAGAGAGGGGAGCAATCCCATTCGGCCAGAGTTATGCGCATGCAACTGTCCCAAGCGCTTGGGATCATTGGGACATCCCGAGTCTCCGCCGTAGGTTTGTGGTTATCATTAGTTGACATGGAAGGTCAAGTAAATGAGTACTCTTCTGTGGAAATCTATTCGCACAGAAGCAAACGTGCGCAGCAATATGAGCTTCTGGTGTCTCCTGCTCACGAAAACATCTGTAATATACTCGTGAGGGCTAGGCGCATCTGTCTATGTCAGTCATGTTTACGGTTGTATGGATTGGGTCTGTTTGCTTGCACTTAAACTTAAACTCTTCGATAAGCGACAGCAGAGAGGCTTTAAGCTGTCGTTGATTAGCAGCAGTCGCTCTTTGGGTGCGGAGACGGAGTCCTTGAACTTGAAGCCGGCAAATGGACAAGGCCCAGAAGGTGCCAGTGCGCCTGCAGAGGTTTAAACGCAAGTTGGGGAAGGAGAATGCGTTGAAGCCTGGAAGTCAGTCGAGGGTAAGACTTGTAAGAGACACAAACGATGACACTGAATTGCTGTGTGTCGAAGGCAAAATGACCAAATTGAGGGAGAGACGCTTGCCTCGTCGAGCCTCGCATAGTCTCGCCTTCAATCCTAACGAAGGGCGGAGTTGAACCTTCGACAACCGCTGTCGGTCATCCTCGAAGTTGTCTGCCGGTGTTAGAGCAAAGGCTCGCGCTGATTGCACCCTCGCTCCTGATCTACCACCCCGTCAGCCAGTGGACGTCCTGACATGTTGGCATGCTTGTAGATGCAGCATTTACGGTGAATCCGCAGAAGTCGGTAGCTGTGAAATGCTATCCATCGCCTTGTGGAATTTGGCCCCAATGCAGGAGACGTGTCTTTAAATGGAAGGCAGGCAGAACTTTGTAGTTCAGGAGGGTGCAGCCCAGCATGCTGACTGGTCAAGGCTCAGCCCACCAAAGAACCCACTCCGCATCCTAAACCAACGCGACTGAGATGGGCCTAAGTCCTCAGTGCAACAAACCGGGATTTGAAACACTCGATGTCCGCGGAACACTAGGCCACTAGGCGACTGCAAACTGCATTTGCCAGGCCGGACACGGGAAGCATGACGGACTGGCAGGTACTGCAAGAAGTCCTGCACCCGCCTTAGACTGGATGCAGTATACTGCGCTTGTGTCCTCAGATCTTTCGGGTCCGGCCGGTGGGGCAGGGTTAAAGCCCAATTGAAGGCCTTTCAAACCTGAAGGTTTTCCTGGGTCAGTTTGCTTCCATGCAACAGCTTGGCAACGGTGAGGTCAACGAAGCCTTCTGTGCTGGTTCCGGTTCTTGTTTCGGGCGTGCGGGCCCGAACTGCAGAAGTTGGGCCGCATGAGAGCATGACGACTTGATCTGCAACACGTCGCGTCTAAAGGTGCTGTCCTTTTTTTACAACACTTTGCAGTATACCATGGTGCCCCGGGGCTGTTTCTGCTTCACTTGGTACCTGACACAACCTGGCACTAGGTACACAAGTTATCTGCAACGCATGCCACTTTCGCAGGCAATTTCAACAAGGCCTTGCCTTGGGACTGCCGATGCTTAAGTGCCAGCTTTGCAGCCCACAGGCAGCTACCATTGCATTGTCGCTCATTCTGGGACTCGAGGTTCCGAAGCCATCGGAAGCATCTGCTAAAGGCTTGAATGGTACTCGTACTCTTCGCAGGCGCTGCCACCTGGAAACTATGGAACGGTTTTCCTCCTCGCTGCAAGGGCCCAAGCAGCTGTACAGCTTGCAGGCCGCATGCTTCGTCACTTCGTCTTCAGGTCCTTGGAAACATCGCTGCGTTCACAGCGTTCAGCATGGTGAAGGACAGGGCGCTTAGCCTTTACCGGCCTAGACGTTCACCCGTCCACCCCCGGGTTTAGAAGAGTATTACCTCAAGCTTGGAAACCGATTTTCCAGCCAGTTCAAAGTGCAAAAACCCTATGTAACACCACCATATGGCGCACGTGGACGCCATGTTATGCACATCGGCCGCGCACCCTGCTTTTCTTGCAAGAGTCGTAGCGTAAGTCCACCAGTCCATGACTTCAGGATGCGCCACCGAAAGTGGAGCAGGCCGACTCGCACTCCACGGCACAGCATCGGTTTACACACCGCCTTTCGTGGTTGGAAGACTTGGTCGTCCTGCAAGGCCACGAATGCCCGCGCAACTCCCAGTTTCAGTTTTGCGAAACGACAGAGGAACAGACGGAACAGATGTCACTGTTGCGGCCAAGGGACTGCAAAGTAAGAACCACGGCACCGGGTGAGCTTCGCGCCGTTCCAAGTTCCTCGGGCGACTGATTGTCAATCTAGAATCTAGAACCTATAAATTTCAGGACATGTAGCAATGATTACCAGGACTGGCAATCCGGCGCACTATTTTTCAGATTGCCGTAGCTCGCAGCTCGAAGCTGCGCTGCTAGATGCAGGTGCAAGTGCTGCTCATTGCGCTGCCTGTCTGCTATGGCCAGCAGCTGTTGACATACAGCTGCTGGCGCAAAGTGCAGAACAATCACCGAAGTTTCCTGTGTGCTGGTTCCAGACAGCTACAGTCGGGATTATTTCCTCCTCGTCTTTGACGGAGAGCGTTGGCTCGAACCGCGAAGCAGACAGTGGCGGCCTGCCCAATACCACTCGAGACCCGTGAACACCCCGTCCATGTGGAAAGCCCCCCACTCACCCACCAAACTCTCTACGCAGCAAAACTGCACAGATCATCCTGCTTTCCAGTCTGCAGCACGATCATTCACGCAATTGTGCCATCGGTTTTACATAACAAGTCACAGAGATCAACATCAACGGCAGCGCACCGAAGTGAAGCCTTTCCATTCCTCTTGTCATGCCCGGTCCGCGTCCGAAGCGATGCACCAATCCTGCGTGCGACTTTCTGGTGCACCCAAATGCGACAAAGATGGGAAGCTTCTGCTGCAAGAAGTGCCACCATCACTACAGCCTCGTGGCAAGCAGAAGCACAAGTTTTCAAGACCACGTTTCCTGGTTGGGTCAGGGTTAGCTCAGTAGGTTTGCCAGCTCATGTTAAAGGTCTAAGTTCGGTCGGCAAGATATTTGGCTAGCTGGATGTAGGTTGGCCGGTTACATTGGTTTAGGCTTTAGTCCAGGTGTGTTGGGTTCCGCTAGTTTGGGATGGCTTACGTTGGTTAGGTTAGGTTAGGTTAGGTTAGGTTAGGTTAGGTTAGGTTAGGTTAGGCGGGGCTTACTGCAGGGCCAGGTGCTTTAGGCGCAGGTTGGGTTAGCTATTACATGCTTGCTTGGTCGTCCTTTATTTTGTGTTGCTCATATTCGTCTTTCCTGTTTTCTGAGTTGCCTGCTTGTTTTCCGAAACATGCAAAGCGCTTGCCGATTCGTCCATTCGTATTTGTCCCTGTTTTCTGAATTGCCCCTTTGCTTTTCCGAATCATGCTTTCTGGATCAGCTGATGCCTCCTGCGAATGCTCTCTTGGGCAGATTTCCATGAAGCCACCTGCCAGGTGTTGGGAGCGAGAAAGGAAAGAGTCTCGCTCATGGCGACCTTTGCGAAAGGAAACAAGCCCCTGCAGATGCGGTGCCCGCGGAGTATGTCGCTCCAGAGGTTCCATTGTCCGCCAGGGCCTTGGAACCGGCTGCAGGCCAACTCCAAGTCTTGGAAATAATCGAGATGCGATGCGGGAGCCGAAAAATCGAGATATGAGATGAGTGACTAAGGCTGCCGCTCCACAAGCCAGCCGTGGCGCTAAACGCAAGAAGAGGCCAGGAAATGGGAGTTCCCAGTTGCGTGCATGTGCAATCGTCACCCATTGTTGTCATGCATAGAATCGCATGTATGCTTGCCTTTTGTTTGTGTGTATGTATACATACACTTACCTGCATTCATTGTTCTGCTGCTCTCCTTTTCTAGACATGCGATTGCATAACTGCATATGTTTATTCCTGAGTCGCTGGAGTCCCCACAAGCAACAGAAACCAAGAAGACAGGCTGCTGCCTAGTCGTCGCCTGGCGCCTGCCCTGCCTCTGTCTGATTCTGTCTCTCTCTCTCTCTCTCTCTCTCGCTCTCTCTCTCCCTCTCTCGAGCTGTCTCGCAGCATTTGTGGCCCCTTTAGGTGCATCTGTGTGTACGTGGGTATGCATGTATGTATGTGTGTATGTATGTATGTATGTATGTATGTATGTATGTATGTATGTATAGGGTTTGCGGATCGAACCCTCGCTGAGGGGATTGCCGTAGGAACCCCAGTGTCGAAAAACGGCACGAACACTAGCGTCTCCCTCCTGGCACCGCAATAAGCGCCGCCGCCGTGCATCTGCAAGGCGTCGGATACACTCCCTTCGCAGGAAGGGGCAAACAATCCCGCCTGGGCCCTTGCGTCTACTTGCACAACACCACAGCAGTCCCTTGTATAGGGAGCTGGGGCCCCTCTTTCCAGAGCTACGGCTTCAGATGGGAGGCAAACGAGGATGGGGACGTGGCCGTCAGTCACAGCGCGACTCCTCATCCTGGCGCTCGGATGCGGGCTGGAGTTCGGATTCCAGATGGAACATTTGGTCCGGGGCATGGTCGCCCAGACAACGCCAGACAGAGATGCGGTACGATCAAGTTGCCGTCAAGGATACCCCGGCCGCGGATGCAGGCCAAGGGGGAGCCATGCGCAATACCAGTATATTGCAGGCCGTCCAGAAAGCGTTCACAGCAGTGCGGAAACAGGACATCAAACTCCGAAAGATCGCGCAGGAGAAAGACACCAGAAAGAAGCAGTTCTTCCAGTACTGCGAGGACACCAAGAAGGCCTTTGCAAAACAAAGGCAAGAATTCGAAGCCGATCAGCAGCGACTGGACAACGAGTACGGCGAGGCAATGGAATCAGGAATGCTCGCAGCGGCACAAGTGAAAGCCCTGGTGCTCGGAGGGAGCATCCCCCGCCCGCCTCAAACTCAAGCCAGCTTGAATGTCGACGAGGCTTGGGCGGCACTGTGGCACAATGTGGACGAAGACATGCCGGAATCGAGCTTCCTGCAGGAAGCTCTTGGTGTCGTGGCCGGAAGCCGTTTTGCCGGGGCTTTGACGAGTCGTCCGAGCCATGCCGTCGAGCCTGCTCGGGCAACGGTTCCAGACAGAGTAGAAGCACCAGCCCGTGCAGAACCAGACTGGTTTGGAGCGCCCACCGAGGCCAGTGTGTATCCGGGCAGCGGACCATCGGACGCAGGTGCGCCCAGCAATGCTGGTGTTGGTCCGCATCTTGGAGCAGGCGATCCTACAGTGGATTCCCATTTGGTAATGGGACACCCTGGAGCCGTGATGGTACCGATGGGCCCACAGAGCTCGATGGCGCAGGCCGGATGGGCGGGAGTGCACCAAGGTCCACCACCAGGCTTCGCAACTGCCGACGCACATGCTGGGATGGCAGGTTATGGTGGTATAGTGGCTTCCGACCCTTACATCACTTCCCCGGCGCCGGCATTCGGGAAAGCGCCACATGTGCCTTCGCCAGCTGCCAAGCGCACGCCGATCAAGCAACAGCGGCCGGTGCCCGCCATGCACCCAGGCGGCCCTCCGCTTGGAGAAAAGCTAGATCAGCGCCGTGCCCTTCTTCCCTTTGGATTGACATCTTCCACAGGAGGAGCAGCCAACGATTTGGCAGGGCAGGATGTTGTTCCTTCGGGGCCGCCGCTTGGACCCGGGCACGATTTGGTTGCGGAGATCAACCTTGCGGAGAACGAGCTGGCAGGAGCAAGCGCGGCCGAGCACACGGTCCCAGAGGCCTAACCAAGGCACAAGGAGGTAGATGGACCTGTAATCCTCGCTACTGCCTTATGTCATGGCTGGCGGGCCCCTCAGTGCCCTTCGGTCAAATGACTACGTGCAGTTCTTGGATAGCGGATGTCCCCCTACCTCCTCAGATGATTGAATCGTGCGGCACTAGGTTTGTACAGAGGGGTTTCGCTGTACAGTACCTATTTCAGTCCGACGAGGCCTATTTTTGCTGTTCCTACAAGACCGTCTGTCCCGTCTCCCAAGGCTCTACCCTGTGTTCCGCCCTCTGTGCTTTTGCAGGCCAGGAGGTACCCCTCGTGCAACGTTGTCAGGCCAAGTGCCGTGTGATCACGGCCCGCACCTCACATGCTACAGCCTCGTTCAAAGTGCAAGACACCCTGCAAGTGTCGGCTTGTTGGAACTGCGCGATGTATCAATGCTGCGTTCCATCCCTCGCCGGGAAACCTTGCGGACCTCGCCGTTCACGGCGCTGTTTGGTTACGTGTACCTACATGGCGCCTAAGAGACGCATCGGTGGCGCAGGGGCGTCCGCCATTGTAGGGAGGCAAAACCTCAGCTGCCAGACTTTGGGACTGCTGGTTTTATGTGGGGCTTTCTTCCTATCCTTAGGCGCCATGTCGTGCCTAAGCATCCTGCTTGCACTTTGCAATGCCCTACAAGGGTCCCTGCCGCATAGGTTTAGGGTTTACAGTCCTTTCCCGATTTGGCTCCCTAGGCTTATCCTTCCGTTTGGCTGCTTTCGGGGCCCGGCCGACAGCCGTCCAGCATTTTGCCTCGACTGGTCTCCATACAAGGACCGCAAAGGCCGTTGCAGTGACAAGGCCTCCCGCAGCGTGCATCGTCACTATCAGGCCAAGCGGCAGCGTCCCCTCCTCGCAGGACTGTGGGCGTGGTGCCTTGGTGCCCTAAATGCACATGCCTTTGCGCCCAGCACCCCATTCTCAGGTTTAGTCCCTGTCTGGGTGCTTAGTGGGTTTCCGCATATTGCCGAGGGAATGACACGGCCCTACAGTGACCAGAAGGCAGCTGATCCCGGCGCAGCATCAAATGCACCGTCGCCGCTTCTTGCCACTTATTCAGGCAGCCATCGTGTTTTGACCCCTTGGTTAGATGGGCCGGCGCACCTATCCCCTGACGTGCTAGATTTGCCCAGCGACGCAATGGAGAGCCATTCTGGCCGTTGGCTAGGCGTGCATGTCCACACACCCTACTTTCGGCCGGTCAGTTTTGCAACACGTCTGGGTCACAACGAAGGGCTTCAGCAGCTGATGGATGTTGTCACGGACAATGTCGGCGGTGTGCCCCATGAACTCTACCCCGCTGTTGTGCCCACGATACCGCAAAGATTTCCTGGGGTAGGGAACTTTCTTCGGTTCCCAGGTTTTGTTCGCCATGCTACAAGCAACCCTATATCTGCCATCTTGGTTGATCTTACCAAGATAGGGGGCAACTATTTTGCCACAATAGTGCCCCGAAAGCTCTCCTACCGTGCCTTCTTCGCCCGTTTCATTCCGCAGGCGAATGATGGAGGTCCGCCTCCTAGAGTCTTTGTTGGGGCTCAGCGAGAGATGTGGCCTTCGGGGAAAGACTTTGACTTCTGGGATGGTGTGGTTGTCACAGCTGTGAGTGCTCCATCAGATGAGGTTTTCAGAGGCTCTGTCGAAGCTTTGTTTGCCGCCGATGCACTTTGGACCCCCATCCCACAGGTCCCTGAGTTAACGGCAGTACACGGAACTTGCGTGCTTTACGCAGGGGAACGCTTCTTCCTTGACCCGCGTGATGCGGAAGGTGAGGGATTAGCGCTGGTTGTTGCCAACAAGCTGGGGTTCGACTTGTTGGATATCACCACATGTAGTTTCCCCTCCGAGAATTTGGATTTCCAAGGGTTCGCTTGTGACTTGGTGTTCTATGTTGCAGTGATGCCTTGGCCTTTCCAGGACCGCATATACTCCGAGAGAAGGGATTTTTTCACGTTCTGTGACGGAAGAGCGGTCGGGCGTGAGCCAGTTGTCCTGCACACACACCATCCGGTGTTGCACCTACCCAGTCTCGCTGCTTCTCTTGACATCCGGTTACCGTGTGCACTGAAGCTCGCAGCCGCTGGAGGTCGATGCGTAGAAGACGAGATTTTTGTAGGAGGACATTCCTCTATTGTGCTGTTCACCTCCCGGCTCAGTTCAGGGTCGGAGCCGGCCAGCGAGGGATCAAGCCAAGAGGACGTGGATCCGGAGCTTAGGCGCCGGCCCCCCCGAATTGTGGACCCGTCCTGGGCGGATCAGGTTGAACCAGACATTTTGCCCCCCGCTGGCCCACGGTGGGGACCACGCGAGATTACTTTCTCGCAGGAGGCTGCCGCCTATTTAGCTTCTGATTCGGAGTCTGCAAGCCATGCCAGGGACGATGTAGGCGGCTCTGTCCTTGGGATAGCTATCTATGCGCCTCACTATCAAACTGAATATGTAGCAGTTTGGGTCGATCCCGAAGAGTCAGTCTTCGATGCCATCAAGAAGGCAAGAGCAACTTCCAAACACCTACCTCTCGAGCAGTTCTGCATTTCGTCTGTTGAGCCAGCGCCATTTGATGGTTATGCCGCCTTCATTGCTTATCCAAGCATTATTGGTGATAACGAGAATGCTGCGGTCGTTGTGGATTTGTCGCCTGTAGGCGGTCGTCGCTACGCAGCTGTGTTGCCATACGCTCTGGATTTTGCTGATTGGGACCGTTACATCCGCGCGCTCTTGCCGCATTCGGTGCGTGACTACACCCTTTTCCTCGGAGTTCAGCAAACGCCGCATGTCGAAGGCCGGGTGATCACCCTTGCGGATGGAGCCCTCATTTCAGTATGGCCCCCAGGAACACTTATTGGGCCTTGCACAACGCATGAAGCTATCTTCGCTGATAGACGTCGTTGGGGTCACCCGGATGGCATTCCGAGATTGCGGCGTTCCGGCATTTGTTTACTTTCTGGAGAAGAGAGA